TACACTACTTTTCTGAGTAGATGACACAGCTGAGGAGGATTAGGTCCTCACTCACTCACCCATTTGGGGAGTGACAGAATTGTATCAAGAACGGGTTTCATGACTCGGACCAATACGATTCGTACGTCAGCAGTCTTATCGGTCTTATAGTAATTAATAGTAAAATAGATATGATGACGTGTCGTCGGATGAGAACAGTTGGAACTTTGCGCACCAAGCGCATCAACTGTTTGTCAATTCCCGATCGACTCATCGCGTTTTGTTTTGTTTACCTTGAATTGATATCTTATCTTCTAGTGTAATCTCGAGCGTTCACCCAAGAATAAATATATTCTGTCATCCTTCGATTGGGAACATGGAGCACTACTTTCTCTCACAGTGGAACTCCAGGTCCCAAAGCTTCACTTTGGATCCATCATTGAGGATCGTCATCTGATGAGCGTGCTGAAAGTTCACTCATGCATTTCTCCTTACATTCAACTTTCCCCGGTCATTGATTGTTTGCAAAAATGTGCCAAGGGACCCTTCAACAAGATGGATCTAATGGTAGAGCTGTGCTCGGAAGCCACCCGCCGAAGAAAGGAGAGGGTGGCTAGTTTGGCCTTTCATTTGCAGGTTATGTTGGAGACTGAAACCCAGGAGGGAATGATTCAATTCATGGAGGCTCAAGGGGCTATATTGTCCACTATTCACCCAATGTTGAGGTACTCCGGTGTTGATGAGGTCTTTGGCAAAGATCCGCAATTGGTTAAAGGCGAGACAGAAGATGAAACTGTGTCTTGGTTGGTCTCTTGATTGAGCACTGTGCATGGATCAACAGCATTGGAAACAAAGAAGGTGGTCGTCAGTGGTGGTCTCCAGAAGACCTAAACCTTGGATTCCTGTAGAATGATCCATCGATGCCAGCAGATGGAATTGATCTGGAAGCATCCATTTCGAATCAATGACCTGCTACATTTCACTCAATTTGGCCATCTCGGTGAGATTGATAAAGCCTGGAAAGCACCTGAAACATGTATTCTTCCCAATATCAACAAGCAACCAGCTGAAGGTTGGGAGCAGAGAAGTAGCTTTGGAAGGAAACAATATTGAGAAAATCCTCCATATTGTTTCCACACAAATGGGATTGGAAAGTTACAGAAGAGCCATTTCTAGTATTGTCCTGGATTGGTGCCTCTCTCTGTCACAACAAACATTGGAAGATGACACCAACCCAGACACCACTGATGTTGACAATGAGATGGGAAAATTTCCCTCCCACTTTCCAGAGGTATATCCAAACAGCTCTTGGTCTCTGTATGGCTTAAATGAAGAGGGACAGATTTTTCAGAAAATCTGCGGTTCCAAGGACAATCAATGGAACGTTCTCAAAGATATTGATGACTGGCTACACAAAGAGTTCTATGATGATGAGAACGATTTGACTTTAAATGGCATGCCATACAAGGGGAAGTGGAAATGGCGGAAAGATAATGACTATCAACTGCAAAAAAATAACATGCTTCCTTCCTATCTAAAAGGTACCAATGATGAGCTAGAACAATTTAGGAAAGAGAGAGAGAGATCAGAAGCCCCACCAAAAGGATAAGACCTGAAGACGAGCCTTCCCCTGCCTCACCTGCTACCAAAGTAAGCAAAAAGGACACCACTGGATTGCGGTATATGGATGTCAATGAATTTTCCAGAAGATATAATAACCTCAACAACATTAGATAAACGCCTTTAGTTCTAGATGTGGGACAGTTTCACTTATTTCTAGATGTAAGACAGTTTCAGGTAGGAGATATTGTGCATGCTGAACCTATTCATCATACTGCATACTGTGTCCTAATCCCTTTCCATTATGTTGTCTATCAATTCCTCCATCCTCTGGGCCATTTGTTCTTGATTGTCCACAACAAAATATCCATCTCCAAGTGGTTCATTTCCAGGTTCTTGCATCAATTTGGCTCTGCGTTTCTTGTAGGTTCCCCTTGCATATTGGCAATGTTCCCTTGAGGCTGCTGTTCTAGTAGATTGGGCACGACAATTGCTGGGGCCACTAGACGGTTGCATGGGATTATGTAGAAGTTGGTGTCCTCTGTCTTTCCCCATTTCACAATTGGAGTATCAAAGTTGGGAAATGGTGGCCGTGGCGGATCCACAAAAAGGTTCACAACAGCATGCACTTGTTTGGATTGGAGCCGGATCCCATTGTGGATCACCTCATCATTTGTGAAGGGCATCCTGATGAACATTAGGATTTGTCCGGGAATGTGGGCATCCCCATGATGTGGTACAACAAACTTTGCCCAGTCGTGCCAAGTGTCAGTGACTTGCTGAGATTTGGATCTGTAGTTGAGGTGGGCCCTGAAACAAATTGGCTCAGAGTCAATTGTCTTCTTGACCTCAGAGAAACCCTCAATCTTGTCACTGTCCGCAAGAGGCAACAGCTTCTCACAGACAAGATTGATAACTTCTTGAAGGTAGTTTCCTTGTTTTGCTGCCATCAAGCCACTTCATTCCTGGTCCTGTTTCGCTGAACCCTAGAGAAAACCAAGCACCACCAGGGGCAACTCCCCCATCCTTTAATGGCTCTTGGTTCCAATTTAGATTCATTCTCTGGGGGCTCCTCATGAAGAAACGAGCTGCAAGGGCTATCAGTCTCATTTCGCTGTACCTTGCAGTCAATTGTTTGACAAAGCTGTGCTGCCGTCTTTGGGTTCTTTGTGCTGGTTGCTTCTGCTCAGTCTTGTGAGCCCGTTCACTGGGACCAGAATCCCATCCACGAGGAGGCCCCCAGTGCAACATGTAGAGGGGGACGTGAAGCATCAGATGATTCTTGATCAAGAGAGCCCCCATGCCTTTTCGAAAGGTAGTCTCCCTTATCCAATCAGTGTAATAGTCAAAGACCTTCCCCAGTCCTTCTGGGTTAAGGGCATGCCTTGCCGGGTACTTTTTCTTCTTCAGCCATTGCTCCATTGTCAAGACTAACTCAAAGGCACCCACCTGATCCTTGTAAAAAGTGGGATACATGGTACGCTCCAGGAGCATGATAAATCGGCCCCGGTCAGATATCATAGCAAGGTACAAGCACAAACAAACACCAGCCTGCTCGTGTCCACATTTCTTGGTCTTGTCAAACAATGAGTTATTGAATTTGGTCCTGGGCTTCTTGCGATCCGATTGCCTTCCAAGACAGGCCCCATATTGATGGCCAATGATGTCCAGACTTTCCAAGGTTTTCTTCACCCACCTTTTAAATTCGGCCTTAGCTGCAAGAGAGGGATCAGCATCATCTGTGTCAGCACCCTGCTCTTCTTCTCCAGCATTGGGTTTGTTACCAGCTTGGCCTATGAGGCCTTCAAGCGATTCTACAACCCGCACCATCCCCCCTTTTTGATGCATGTGCAGTGTTTCTGCTGGAGTTCCCCAATGAATTTTGCGGAAATTCACACCAAAGCAGATGGGATCAAAGGCGTTGTTCACAATGCTGTGGCTTATACTGCTAAAGTATTCAGCAGTGTGTCCATCCAATGTGGGATCTACCTTGCTGGGATCAAACAGGATCCAAGTATGCTTCTCCTTGGGGCTTACAAGATCCTTGGTTGCACAATTGCAATGCCGACAATGAGACTTCATGCCATGGGTTTGGCTACCACCTGTCTTACCACAAAGCTTGTCATGCATGTCAGTATCACCAATGAGGAAGGCAACGGAGAATTTCATGTTGACCTGGAATTCTTCTCCATTGTACTTGAGCTTCCAACGTAGTCCTTGATCACTGTTGGTCCATTTAGTGATGTCGGCCAGTGCCACTGCAAGGCTGTTCTGAAGGTTTACCATTTTGTCATGTGCGGTTGCTTTTTTCTTATGATGAGCAAGCTCCACAGTAGGATCGGGGTAGTAGAAGAATGTGGTATGGGCTTGCTCTTTATTTCGGGTGTCAGTGTCCAATATTCCAAGTGTCAAGTTGAAGGGACAGGCTGTTAGCTTTCCTTGCTTGTCCGTGGTGATTTCATCCCCATACAGTATGATGGGCACCAGCATTTCCCTTTTGCCCTCATCACACTTCATTTCCATGGCGTCACGCCACCAGGTGCCCTTATGCATTTCACTGACAAAATTGTGTTTGTCTTGGGGATCTGGTCTGAACTTGAAGGGGTTGGTTGGATGGGGCAAGGAGATATTCTCACCGTTGGGACCCGTCACATCTTGGTTTGTCAGAAGCTCATATACACAATCCAAGAAGGGGCGGATAAAGAGACTAGTAGGCTGATTGTCAGGAGCCAGTCAATCATGTGTTCCTGGAAACTATTGGTCTTTTCTACCCCCAAGTGCAGTCAAAACTGAGTAAACAATTCAGACCGAGGGGGTTGGGTCGGACAGAAAAAGATTAGGCTCTTTCTTGGTCCCTTTGTGGACCCATGCTTGAATGTCAGAAACAGAGGAGGCTGACCATCCGTGTTTCCTTGCAAGACAAAGGAGGTGAAGGTCGGCTTCCATTTGGGTGCTGATAGATGGTGGCATGAATTCCCGGTTGTACTCTTCTTGTTTCAGTCGGTCCAATAGGTAGTTGGAAGAATCAGGATTGGGGATGTTGTGAAGAGGTGGTTGGGGGGCATGTGGATCATCAACTTCAAAATTAATAGTTGGCAATGTAATATCATTAGGAAGATAGTTAGCCCCATACTGGGATCCTACATCAAGATCCATTACAAAGGACCCATTTGGATTGTTCCTTGCTTCTGACTCTATGGAAAGTTCTGCGGATTCCTCCTCCTCATGGTCATCATCATACTCAAAGTTGACAGATTCTCCATCGTCTTCTGTTTGAAAACTAGGATCCAAATTGTCGTTGAGACGGGAGTGGATGTAATTCCTCAGCCCTTCCTGAGATACTTGAGGTGGAAGTTTAGATGGGCATGTCTGGCTGTTGATTTGTTGGTTGCTAAGCTTGCTTTCTGGAGCAGAATAATGGGCAAAAAGAGTCTTTGAAACAAACTCCTGAAAATCAGCCAACAGAGTGGCTTCCCGAAGCATTCCAAATGACCCCTTCTTCTTTTCTGTCTTGTTCTTTTCTTCTTCCATGGCAGCAGTGTCTTCTTCTGATCCACCGTCAGGTTCAAAGCCTGGCATAATATCAGTAGGGCTAGTGATATCGCTTACAGAATCCCCAACTGGAAGGGGATTGGCATGGTGATTAGCTTGGAACACACGGGAGTCTTTAAAGTCAATCTCATCAACAGACTTGAGGACTTCATTTCTATAAGCCCGGGCAAAGCAGGGGTCATTCTTAAAACCTGGTTTTGCGGTTGACCTAAGATGTTGTGAAAGACCTGATGAAGTAAGCTTCCCTTGTTTGTTGCTATATTGCCCCTTGAAGTTTCTTTTACAGCACAGACACCAATGTGGAACATCTCTGTATTTGGGCCTCTTGCTTGCCATGACAAAAAAGTGCCATAAGAAGGAGTGCGGGGAGTGATAAAATGCTGATCAATAGCCTTTTTGTCCATGGATTGTGAAAAAAGGACATCATGTTGGGATGTGCAGGACAACAATGACCTTTTGGAAGAAAAGGACCTGACAACCAATGTCTCATGGTTGTCATAATGACTCTTGTGTGTCATTTGCCCCAAAGGAGTGTCAAAAAAAGGGGGCTCCTTGTGAAAAAAGGACAAGGGACTTTTGGGAAAGACAAGGCATGCCGCAAAAAGGGCAAACCATGGGGAATTTTGGGCAATTTCTTCCTAAAAAGGTCATATCTACTGTTTCAGATGAATGATTGATTGATTGATTTGATGCATTCATTCGTATTCATTAATCTAACCCAGTTTTCTTTGCTGCTCCTCTTTTTTCTGAACTTTTAGCATTATGCCTCTGATCAAGGAGCTTTCAATGGCATATGCCGCTGTAACCCTTGTCTGGAGCTTTTTGACTACTACAGGGTGTCAATAATACGGGGGTCAGGAACTGCGTCAAATGACAACTTGTTGCAAACCCGGAAGTACACTATATTTTTCCGTAGCTTTGATGCTGAATAGCTACCACCCTATTGGGCACATGTGATATATATGTGCACAGGGAGTATTTGAAAACGACGTATTTTTTGTACTAAGGCCACGGCAATCCGTGATCCAACAGTATTCATTCACGCATGATGTAAGCGACAATGGAGTATATGAAATCAAATACTACCTCTAAAGTAACCCGGAAACTAAGGTATATCAGCCAATCAAAACTAAGCTGTCGCTTACAAACTAAGCAAATGTGGAGGGAAAACCTTAAGCCAATGACAATCTTTTTCTTTTCCAACAATTAAGAGCACTAAAAACCAAAGAACAACTTTGGTCTAGTTAGTCCATTGTCCATGAAATGCAAAACATTTTTGTCGCTGCTACTATGCCTTTTGATATGGTTTGGCATTCAACCAGCAATACTCCGTCGCCGTCGCTTGAGTAACTACAAACTTATCAAGCCATCTCTGAGAAGAATCCATCAAGCAGAAGAGAAATGGCGTCGCTCCAGGTAAAGTTGTTATCAATCCATCTCTGGGGAGAATCCATCTAGCAGAAGAGAAATGGTGTTGCTCAAGGTAACGTTGATTGTGATATGCTGCAATTGTCAATCATGACCATGACAGTGTTTGCCATTGGTTGCATTACAATGTTGCCGTTGCTTGATTATTACAGACTCATCAAGCCATCTCTGAGAACAATCCATCCAGCAGAAGCGAAATGGCGTCGCTCAACAAGTTAAGTTTGATTGTTGGATGTTTACATCGTGCATCATATTGATGAAAGAAGTCGCTCATGTCATGATATGGTTTTGTTGCATTCAACCAACAATACACCATCGTTGTTGCTTGATTGCTGAAGACTTATCAAATCAACCAAACAGAAGAGAAATGGAGTATGTCAAGGTAAGTTTGACTGTCAGATGTTGCAATTGTGAATCATGAAGATGAGGACGGTGGTCATCAATACTCAACTACTTCACCCAACAATACACCATTGTCGTTGCTTGATTACTACAGACTTTGTATCAAGCCATCTCTGAAGAGAATCGATCCAGAAGAAAAGAAATGGTGTGCCTCAAGGTAAGTTTGATTGTTGAAGGTTGCGATTTGCATTCATGACCGTGACAGTGGTCGCTGTTGCTTGACTCCTTTACCCCACAATACATTGTCGTTGTTGCTTGATTACTACATACTCATCAATCCATCTCTGAGAAGACTCCATCCAGCAGAAGAGAAATGGCGTCGCTCCAGGTAAGGTTGATTGTGATATGTTGTGATTGTCGAACATGTTGATGAAACAAGTCGCTCATGTCTTGATGTGGTGTGCATTCAACCAACATTACACAGTCCTCGTTGCTTGTTGTCGTTGCTTTTTTATTACAGACTTATCAAGCCATCTCTGAGAACAATCCATCCAGCAGAAGTGAAATGGCGTTGCTCAACAACGTAAGTTTGATTGTTGGATGCTTCCATTGTGCATCATGTTGATGAAACAAGTCGCTCATGCCTTGATATGGTTTGCATTCAGCCAACAATACACTGGCAGCGTCACTTGATTACTACAGACTTATCAAGCCATCTCTGGGGCGAATCCATCAAACAGAAGAGAAATGGCGTCGCTCTAGGTGTGTTTAATTGTTGTATGTTGCGTTTGTCAAGGAGGATGGTCACAGTGGTCTCCATTTCTTGACTACTTTACCCAAGAATACACCCTTGTCGTCGCTTGATTACTAGTGTCTATTCTACCGCGCGCCTCATATGAGGCATATGCCTCATATGAGGCAGCTTTTGACAGTCCTACCTAACTACCTTAAACATGTTTAACAAACCTCCTGCTTTAAGAGCGTATTCCTTGGTATTCAATTTCATGTTTTCTATGGGGTCACTGGCTGAAAATTGCTGTGACGAAAGATATTCTTCGTCAAAGGTGCTTCAATGCGCTTTCGTGTGCGAAAAAAAACTGACATCATCACCATCACAACGACAACTACAACGACCCAACCATGGCACCTAGCAACCCCAAACATCAAATAGGGACAAGAGTATCAACAAGGGCAATCTTGGTCACCAGCTTGGCCGAGTGCAAGCGTCGCTATGGCTCCAATGCCAAGTCAAAAATTGTTTTTGGAGTTGTGGAGGAGGTTGTTTGCGGCCAAACAGCAACTGGTCGAGCCAATTATGCAATCAAAGCAAGATGGACCCTTGGTGACACAGCAACAAAAGTCGCCTCTGTTAACAGTAGAAGTGTGTCTTGCTCCTGTTGAAGTTGTGCAGCCTGCTGTTCCACAACAAGGTGTGGAAGCAGAAGCAGTGGTCGCGGCACAAAATCTGATGCCTGCTGTACCACTGGCTCCAGAGCAGCCACAACAGCCACAACAAGCACCACAACAACCAACAGCACCCCCAATCCAACAAGAAGAACAAGAAGAGCACAACAATCATACAATATTGGTCCCCAATGAGCAACAGGCACCCGAACCCATGACAATCGGTCAAGAGTTGGTCCTTCCAACACCGCCAGAACAACAGCAACAGGGACCACGGCCAGTGGCAACTCAACATGGATTCGAATGGTTTGATGCACCAGAGGGAATTGTCATTGGCAATCCCATTCGCCAGCGAAAATGGGTGTTAAAGACTCCAGTGAATGATGAGGAGATCTGTGATGGATGTGACATTGGTTTTTCACGATCAAGGTTGGTCTTTTGCTATCTCCCAGAGCCTTTAGTCTTATACTGGAGGAAACAAATAAAAGACTTTGCCAAAAGAGACTCCAAGAGATGACTAACGGTGAATTGTTGAGGTTCTTTGGTGTGCTTTTGTTGGCAACCAAATTTGAATTTAGCAGCCGAGCCACTTTGTGGTCAACGGTTGCTTCATTCAAATACATTCCTGCACCTGCTTTTGGTCGGACAGGCATGCCTCACAATCGATTTGACTCTATTTGGGAATGCCTAACATTTTCAAGGCAGCCAGAACAGCGCCCAGAAGGCATGTCAGCAGAGGCATATCGCTGGCTCCTCATTGACGATTTCATAAACGAGTTCAATGAGTACCAAGCCGCAAACTTCATCCCTGGCAGCACCATCTGTGTTGATGAATTGATTGCAAGATGGTATGGCATGGGCGGTCATTGGATCAATGAGGGCATTCCCAACTATGTTGCAATAGACAGGAAACCAGAAAATGGGTGAGAGATCCAAGATGCGGCGTGTGGTGATAGTGGTGTGATGATTCGTCTGAGGCTTGTCAAGACAAATGAACAGGAAGCCGATGAACAGGAAGAAGACAAAACTACAGAACACAATGGACTTCCCCATGGGTTCCAGATGATGAAGGAATTGGTACTTCCGTGGCTTAATAGTTGGAGCGTTGTTTGTGCTGACTCTTACTTTGCTTCTGTTACAGCTGCGGAGGAAATGCTCCGTCTTGGGATGTACTTCATTGGTGTAGTCAAGACAGCCAATAGGAACTTTCCTCAGGAATACCTATCGGGTGTTGAGCTACAAAACCGCGGCGAATTCAAGGGGCTTAATAATAAATTCAACAATCCAACTCTCCTTGCATTTGTCTGGGTTGATCGCGACCAGAGGTATTTCATTGCAACCACGTCATCCCTTCAAGTTGGAGAAGGGTACTGGCGGACACGTTGGAGACAACTAGTTAACGACAGGTACACAGCTCCTGAGCGAGTTGACTTTGAAATACCACAGCCAAAGGCTTGTGAAGTCTACTACTCAACCTGTGGAAGGGTTGATCAGCACAACCGCCATTGTCAAGACACCCTGCAGTTGGAACAAAAATTGAAGTGTCACTCATGGCATATCAGAGTGGGTATTTCCATATTGGGAATTATCATCACTGATACTTGGGCCGTATACAAGCAAGCTACAAATACAACAGAGACACAGAAGACCTTCCATTCCTACCTTGCAGAGGAGCTAATAGACAACAGGTATGACAATCAGCGGTCTTTACGAACACCACCTCAAAATTCTACAGATTTATCCACGGTTTTTGGCAGTCCAACTGTAAGGAATGGGATTGGAATCCACCTAACTCCAACAA